GACAGGTAATCTACTTTTTATTCAAAATGTGAAAACTTTTATTATCGAGATGAAATAATAAATAAAATTAATAATAGTTAATATTATCCATTTAATATACAAATTAAAATTTTATTTTTTTAAAAAAAATTATAATTATTTTACATTATAAAGTTTTATATTTTAAAAGTAATATTCATGGTAATAAATTCAAAATTAATTTGTATTTTTTTAATATTATATATAATATAGTCTTTTTATTTTTTTATTATGAATTTAATAGATTAGTTTTATTTTCTAATTCAAATATTTTTTACATAATTTATATTATAAAAATTAGTTTACGTATCAATAAAGATTTTTATTAATTTAATAATTTAATTATATTTTATTATAAATAATAAAATAGTACTAATATTTTATAAATTATTATATTTAAATAACATTAAAATCATTAACTTGCATAACTATTATAATATGTATGGTTATTTTCTATACTTTTGAATAAAATGATGTTTGATTTATAATAATACAAAACACAATAATATTTAATTATTAAATATTAATGATTGTTAACCAAATAAAATAATTTCAAATCACAAGTGATAAAATCATCTTAATAATAAAATCATCTCATGATTACATTTCATGATAATTTTGTAAAAGATATTAATGTAATTCCATACATCCATTAAGAATGTCAAATCTCAAATTTATCCAAATCTTTTTATATATAAAACGATTTGAATTTAACTAATTGCATACAACCTTTATTGCTTTGGATCATTGTGTTAGAACCAAAATTTGAAAACCTAGAATTACTATATTCGGTAAATTTGGAGAAAAAGCTCCAAGGTGTGTAATAGTATCATTTTTCTTAAGATTTTATTTACTCTCGCTCTATTATTTACTAGTAGGAATGCAAAAAGTTTGTAGGTAATAAATCTAAAAAATACAATAAAATCTAGTGATTGATTATGTTTTGTATTGAAGAAATCTAAGTTCATTGAGCATGTACCGATGTATTACAAGATTACCAAACTTTTATAAAAAAATTTCTACAGTAAAACTTTATAAAAGAAATCTAGAAATTATTTGAAAATTGAGGGAGAGTTCTACAAATTGTTTCTTTAATTTTTTTAGAAAATCAGAAAGAGTTTATATAATTAATTAAATATCTTTTCATTCTACAAGCATAAGTGTCTATTTTGAATAGAAAATATTATCTATTTTTTAAAATTAAACTGTCTATTTAAATATATTTATTTATCTATTTTGTACAAATTTAACTATATGTTCATATCTGTCTATTTTAAATCAACTTAATTAATTAAACACTTAACTAATTTTTGTTTAATTAAAAAATTAAATTTTAATTATTTTGTTTCTACATATATCAAGTGTCAAATGCCATTAATATATATTAATTATTTAATTAATGCAAAACCAACCATGCTTAAAAATCTAAGCATATGATATATTTTTGTACTTTAGCTATTTAAGTCTAATTATATTAAACTTTTACACTTAGGTAATGTTTGGTATGAGGTGATCACTTCAAAAACCATTGTGATCTATATATAGTGATTAGATCACTATGTTTGTTAATCATTTAGTGATCTTATGTGATAGTGATCTTAGATCAATAAAAATGATTAGATCATTACTCTAGAAGGTGATTTAATTCTCATATAAAAGGATAAAAAACTTTTATCATCGAGATAAAGTAATATATAAAATTAATAATAATCAATTTACTCATTTAATATGTAAATTAAAAACTTACTACATCTTAAAATTATAATTATTTTATATTATAAATTTTTATATTTTCAAATTAATATTCATTATTACAAGTTTAAAATAATTTGCTTATTTTTTTACTTTTTTTAATATTTTAGATATAATATAATTTTTTATTATGAATTTAATAGATTAATTTTATTTTCTAATTTAAATATTTTTTACATAATTTATATTATAAAAATAAATTTACCTATCAATAAATATATTTATTAATTTAATAATTTAATTATATTTTATTATAACATAAATAAATATTACTAATATTTTACAAATTATTATTTTTAAATAACTATAAAATTATTAATTTATGTAACTATTACAATATATATGATTAGTTTCGTATTTTTAAATAAAATAAAATTTGATTTTTAATAATACTAAACACAATGATCTTTGATTCTTAGAAATTAATTATGGTTAATAAAATAAAATGATTTCAAATAACAAATGTTAAGATCACTTTAATAATAATATCATTCTAGTAATTACATTATTATGATGATTTTACCAAAAAAAATCCTAAACATTACTTTTAATTTAAATGATTATCTTATCTTTTTCTTTTCTAACATGAGATTACTTTCTATATTTCATTTTAAAAATTTCTATCACACTATGGGGTGGATGTTTTCATCGGTTGGAATAATTGACGTATGAAATTTTGTTGACCTGATCATCTTTGAAGCTAATAGTATTTTAATGACACTCTTCAAAGTTTTTTTTACCTTCACGAAATTATGAATAAAACTATCAATTATTATGTTTAATATAAAATTATTATTAAAATACAATCATTAACGTTAAAAAAATCGCAAGAATGTCAACAACAACCATTTTTAAATAGCATATTCCAATTATATACCTTCAATAATAAAAAATATTTAATGTCAGAATAAACACAATGTATAGTGATCAATTAACCCATCATGACTTAAAAATTAATGTTCATATAATTTTACACATTTTTAACAACAATAATATACTAACTTTATTACATTACTATGTATTAGAAATTTTCGGTGCATTGTTGTGAGGACAAATTTTTTACTAATATATATATATATATATATTAAATAAAATTTAAAAATAATTCATATTTTTATATATTAAAAGAGAAATTATTTAATACATTATCAATGAAATATTTTAATTTCACAAGCGGAGGTAATATATATATGTCCTTTTTTTAAATTAATTTTTTAATATTTTAAAATATATATTAAGAGATATGTACCGTCATAATAATTTATTTATAGAGTTAAAAAACTTCCAATATAAATATATTTGATAATTTCTCATATTAAAATATGTTAATATGAATCTAATCAAATTTGTTAATAGTTAAAATTTTAATTGAAAAAAAAATCAATGTTCAAGACATAATATTAAAAACAACTCTTAAATTACATAAAATGACAACTTTGCTTACAAGATTTTATATAGCAACTTCAATAGAATAATTAAAAATGCAATTACATATATAATTATAATTATTTAAAAGCCATTAGCTTTCATTGTTTGCTGTAAAAATTTTATATGTGTTTCTCATACAACTTATAAATGAATTTTTTTTATCATTTTTATTTTCCCAAACAAGTAGTTTTATTTTTTAGTTTTAGCCATCTATTCTATATTCTCTTCTCTCCTTTAAACCTTTTTTATTTTTTTTCTATCTTTTGCTTTCTCCCAAATTATAAAAAAGAAAAAATTATGGAAGGTAAAAAAAAAAAAACCTTTAAATTAAAAAATATAAATATAAACGAATACCACATGTCAAACAGTAATCGAGTCAAGTGGCAACCAAATATACTCTCGAACTTTTAAAAAACAAAAAGAACTAACCACATGCCCTTTAATTGCATAAGGTTATAATTTTTATCAGTCTATAATTATAATCACAAATAGGATTGATTGTAAACGAAATGAATATAATCGTATAAATATATATTTGTGATTTGTTTCTTTAATTTTAAAGGTGTTTAGTCTTAATTTGTGTTGATAAAAAATTACTTTATTTATTCAAATTTAGTTCGTTTAAATTATAAAATATTTATGTTTGATTTGTGTTTAATTCGATTAAGTTGAATAAATTCGTTTACGGACATATATAAATAAATATATTCATAAACATATATAAATGAACATATTCATAAATAATAAATAAACTAAAATCAAATAAATCTTAAACAAATATAAGCGAATCCAAACAAATATAAATGAATCTTAAATAGAATTATGATAAAGGCAAAAATATAATTTTGTTATCATTATCATAAGTGAATAATAAACGAATATGTTTTAAATAAAATTTAAATAAATTTGTTCATGAATATAGACAAATCAAATAAATCTCTATTCGTATTTGATTTGTTTAATAAATCAATATAAAAATATTATTTAAAATCATTTGTTAAATTTAATAAACAAATAAAAATCAAATATATTCATAAATAATTCGTTAAAAACTCTTTTCATTTATACTCCTAACAAGAAGCTTTTAAAATCAATAAAAAAATAGAAAGACAAAAAACTAATATTTGTTATTTAACATTATTGGTTAGCACGTGACAAGTCATAATTAATCTTTTGTTATTTTAATTAAATTTTTTATACAAAATCTTAAGTTATAAAACTCCTTAAAAGTTGTTTCAATTGAAAATTTTAATTGATTTTAAAGATTTATGATTATAATTAATGAAAATAAAATAAATGCCCAATAAAAAAACCAAGAGCTTAATTTATTTTTACTAATATTTGAAGATATATTTGAAAATTAAATCATTAAATAAAATTACAAGAGAAGCTTAGATGTTGACTGACTAAAGTGAGTTTTCAAATTTTTAATTTGAAAAAAGAGGAGATTCGATCTTGTTCTTCGCGTAGCAAGTCACAAACTGAGCCTCAGGTGCTGAATATTTTAACCATTAAAAATATAAGGAAAAAAATTAATTCATGAGAAATCACTATAAAACTGTACATTTCATGGGGACACTACCATTAAGGGAAAATATACATAAATAAACAAAAAAAGGATTTTTGCCTTTTTTTTTTTAATTTCCAGTTATACAAATTGTAATCTAAAAGGGGTTAGCAAAACACAGTACATAATGACAATTTAGACTTACCTTTTGAACTAAAATTAATGCATCAGAGTAGCAAAAAACCCATAAAGAAACAAACAGTAACTATGTAATTACAAACACCAATGTCTACAACTTAAAAAAGAAAAAAAAAATGAAAAAAGTAGACATGATTTGCCAATGTGTGTGCGTCGCTAAAAGTACTTTTGCTTTATGCACACTCAGTAAATTAATTATGATGGCACTCGTCACTCTTTTTGTGCAAGCCACTTGCAGAAGCCATCCTCTAAGGCCTCTTTCATCCACTCATGCCTGCAACTCTCGACTGCTTCTTGTATGGTTAGCCAACTTCTTGTACGGGTGCTCTGCTCTGGCCACAAATCTAATTCCTCTTTTACGCACAAAGCAAACATTGCAGCTTTACATAAACCATCTGGGCTGAATTCATCTTGATGGCTTTTGCTCTTAAAATGATAATATCCTATGAAATCCTTAATCCCAGTAAAATAAAAGAAATTAGTCCCTTCTAAAAATTAAAAAAATAATAATAATAATCACTTTGAACTGTCTGAATATATATCTAGAGATAAAATAGAAAACAAATCCACTTTGAACTATGTAATTCTCATGAGGTAAAGGCAAGGGGATTAATCACAGTCTTTTATATATTAAAGGATATATTAGTAAATAAATTATACTTTTAAGACATATTTGATTGCTAATTTTATTTGCAGTCCTTTTTCCTTAGTCCTAGAATTTGAGCATAAACATATTCTCTACACACCTATGAAGAATTGAAGTACATGTATATCAAGAAACGAATAAATACACAAGATTTAAAAGAATATGATATGTTACTCATCTTTATATAACTTTTTGATTTTTCATCTAAGATCAAATCGTTGTAAAGTCAAATCACTTGTATATATCATGACTATCTATTCTACGTAGATAATACTACCTCATATGAGAATGTTGTTGATTTTAAAACTTTTATTCCGTTTATGTACGTTCCAAGATATCACAGTCAGAATGCCACTAATCTAATCTTTCTTAAAAGCTTGATAATGATGATAGATAATATCAACAATAGTAATGGCACAATAAAAGCTAATTAATTTTACGAAAGATATGCATAGAAATTTGTGATAAAAAATCCAAAATATCAGAAAAGGAACAAACGTTAGAAATATATGTTATATCTTTCACAAACACAAAAGAAGAAATGGAAATGCATAAATAAATAAAAAAAGTGTGGAAGAAAATTTTCACCATTAAATCCCCTCGGACTCCAGCTTCTTCAATAGCTTCCCTCACTGCAGCCTCCTCTACAGTTTCATCATTCTCCCAACCTCCCTAAAATCAGAGAGCAAAAAATTCATAAGAAATCGGTAGAATTCATAAATCATCTCTTCTTTGAAAATAGTAAGTACATGCCCAAATAATACACAACTTTAAGTTTGTACCTTAGGAAAAAGAAGACCCGGTCCGCTAGTTGAGTTAATCATCAGTACCTCAACAACCTTTTCAGAATTATTTAAATCATCTAAACTTCTATACCTAAATGGAATACACCTGTCATGAGAGAAGAGTGTATTTAACACATGATGCTCAAATTTTTAACAAAGGTGACACCAAGTGTTTCCATTACTCAGCCTATCCATCACAATCACAATCACAATGACAAATTCTCCTTGAATTTAAGTTCAAAAACTCCTCAGACAATGTAGAGAAGAAAATTCTACCCATATATTTCATCTTTTACCTGAAAACAAAGAGTGTCACACACATACTTCCAATCCAATAACCAATTATCATCCATTAACTGGACAATATTGACACTTTTCATACAATAAAACACACATATAATAGATAAAACCCATGAACGAATACCAAAATTTTTAACTTAAAAAATAAAATCGTAACACCCACTTGCAATTTTCATCATAAGAATGTAACAAACCATTTCAAAATTAAAATGTGTCACTTGTATAAGAATACAAAAAGGAACATAAACAACTCATGCACACCAAAAGCAAAATATATTCATTTGCCACGTTCATGCCAAAGTTAATAAACCTTTCAAACCTCAAATGAATCATTCCTATAAGCAAAAGAAAAAAAAAATACCCATTCTCTCTCTGCATATAAACCATTCAAACGTTAAATCCATAATCTCTGTACACCAAAAACAAAACAAATCTGTCTTAAAATGTAGTAAACCATTCGAGTCTTAAAATTTATTCTCACATGTAAACAAAAAACGATAGACAACACACATAAAAAACAAAAACAAAAAATTTGCTATCTACTTGTCAAAATGTACTTAATAAACAACCATTTCAACCTTAAATTAATGCGCTATTCAAAATTTCATAGGCAGACATATCCAATATACAAGCAAAATATACACCAAAAACAAAACATGCCCATTTGCCAACTCCATCCCAGAATTCAATTCAAAACTCAAAATGCACCATTCATAAACACCAAAATAAAATATACCATTTTCCATCTTCAACTCAAGAATTTAAAAAAAAAAAAAAAAAACGTTCGTTTTAACCTTAAATGCATCATTCATAAACACCAGAAACAAAATAAATAGCTCATTTTCTATTTTTATAACAAACCATTCAAACCGTAAAAAATACAGCACTGAAGCAAATACAAAAAAAAAAAAAAAAGATCAATCAACCAACATGCACACACATTTTCATATCTACAATGGACACATTAAATATACAAATAATCAGAACAAAAACATACCCAGCCACAAGCCGACAACCGGCCTCGTACCTTTGCTGAAGTCGACCTGTACGAGCCACCAAATCCGACATAATACTATGAAAAATCTCAATTTTTTTCAAATATCAAAATTTTCAAATTTCAACAAAAGTGATAATTTTTCTTATTCAGACGCTTCATTGGTTGGCATTTTTTGGGTTTACACAAATGCTCGGGCTTGTACCGGATTATGTTTCATCCATTGGATTCGACGATGAAGATCGATGCTACGGAACATCATCCAATGGTTGTGAATTTCCTCTTTTTTTTAAATTCTGATTTTTAGGGTTTGAGTGTTTTTTGGATTGTAACCAATGAGAGAAATTTTCAGTTTTGAAAAGAAGAAAGAAAAAGAGAAAATTATCAGTTTTTGGCAGAAGAAAAAAATGGAGAGAGGAAATAGAGAAAAGATCCCCCTAAAGTGAAGCTCTAAGAACGGATCGGACGGTGGGTGGTCAAAGTCACGTGCGTTGGTCAAAACGTTTGCCCAATTATTTTAGTAGTAGTAATTTTTTTTTTATAGTAAATACATTAGATATATTATTTTTTACTAAAATACAAAACATATTATTTAAATTTTCAGTTTTTTGTTAAAAAAATCTCATATCTTTTATTATAATTTATTAGAATAAATGTTAAAGACTAAATTGATTACAAAAAGAGAATATGGGATTAGATGAGAAAATTAACGAAGTATAATGATTTATTTTATATTTCAAACATTATTTTTTTAAAAATATGAATATAAAGAAACAATTATATATGTGATTAAACATGAAAATCAATTAATTGTAATTTTGACCTACAACTTTTCTTTTACGCGAGAGTAAAATTAATCATTAAAAAAACAATTACTTAGGTAAAATCTTGTAAAATATATATTGTCCGGTGCATATTTTAGTAAGAAAAAGATAATTTCATTTGCATTCTACAATTTAGACAAAATTTTCATGTGGTTTAAAGTCTATTTAAATAATAATGAGATTGATTTTGATGTGATTAAAAATAATGATTGAGATAAGATTAATTACAAAAATCTTAAATGTTAAATAAATATTGCTCCTTTATCTCCCAATATAATGACCTTTAGCCGTTAAGAAAATAGGTGAGAAAGTATTTTTTATATAGACAACAAAAGGGAAAAGAAATTTAAGAAAAAGGGAAAGAGTAATCTCACAGACATTGTACAATTTTCAAGAGCAGTTTTTACTTTGACTTGTTAAAAGATTTATGATGTAAAAAGGAAAAAAATTTTGTATTTTGATTTTGTTCAATGATTAGTAATTCAAATTAAATTTTCACTTTCGTCTCTGCTAAATAAGTAAGTATATATAATTATGTTTATATATATATAATATAATTCTATTTGAATTTATTATTTTCTCAAAAGATGTTACGTGTCAACTTTATAAATAAATTATTTTTTATTTTTAAAGAAATCTTTTTCTTTGTTTGGTTGTATAACTCCACAAATTGGTTTGACCTTTGAGCTTACAAATTAAAACTTTAAAATTATCCAAAAAAATGTTCAAATAAAAAAACATTTAATTTCAACAATTATCGGTTTCTTCACTCCATTATCATAATTAATCCGTTCATAAAGAGAAAGTTAATTCGTTAAAAGTGGAAAGTTTAATTCGTTAAACTCAAAGATGATGAAATCTCTTCCTTTGCCTTATCCAACCATTTTCTTGTCAATCTATTTAATGTTGTTAATCTTTTAAAACCTTTATAAAAAAGCCTTAAAAAAATTGCCCATTTTTAATTCATTAATTTTCATCTAGATTTTGCTTCTCTAAAAAAGCATTCATCGATTTGTAAGTATTTTTTTTATCATTTTATTTAAACTCTTATAATTTATTGATGAATATACTCACTAATTTATAATTTTTTTTTGTAAAATCTATCAATTAAAAGACCTAACTTACAAATTCGAAAGGTATTAAAAGAATATGATAATGAATTTGTTGATTTATGCTATAAATTTCTAAACCCATTTCAATTCTTTTTATTTTTTTATTGTTCATGAGAGATCTTCACATTTATTTTTAGTAAACTTAATATTTCAGAGGTTAATAAAATAGGTATGTACAAATATGTTTTAGTGTTTTTAATTGTTGTTGTTGTTGAACCGAAGCAAAGCGTGAGAAACTACCGTGTGTGTGTGTGTGTGTGTATCTTACAAGACTTTATCTTTCATTGATATTAAAACCAGGTTGACTTGTATTCTGGTTCATTTGTATGGTTTTCATAACCGAAAACATAGTACGTTCTTGCATGCTTACATATATCCATAGGAGTTGACATAATTTTTGTGTTTTTGATATGATTAATGTTGTTATGATAATTTTTGAAATAAAAAAAGGAAATGCTATCGATGTTTTGACATTTTCGAATCATTTTTTTTTTTTTGGTTTTTAGATAGGGCTTCGGAATGCCTTAGGCAAAATAAAAAAAATTAATAAAAAACAAGCATTCAAATACTCTATCCAAAGCATTCGAATTCCCCTTTTTTTTTTTCTGAAATATTTTTAAAAATTAAAAATTTAAGAAAAATTTTTTAAAAAATTTTTTGTCTTTGAAGACTTTGGGATGTCAAATCATAAAAAATGATTTAATGAGTCTTTATTATTATTTTTTACTTGTGTTTACTAATGAATTCATATTTTTTCTTGTATTTTGTTACATAAAATCATAATTGTTATGATTTTTTCTTGTATTTTGTTACATAAAATCATAATTGTGTTTACGATAATTTTTTATGATTTTATCATGATTGATGAGGACCACTGTGTGTATATTAAAAGATACAAAAATAAATTTATGATATTGTCACTTTATATGGATAGCATACTATATGCTGGTAATGAAAAAGAGTATATCATTGAAGTGAAAATCTAATTGTCTTTAAATTTTGAAATGAAGGACATAGGTGAAACAACTTACATGCTTCGTGTAAAAATTATGAACGATTGTTCCAAGAAATTATTAGCTTTTTCATAAAAGCAATACATTAAAAAAGTTCTAGAATAATTCAATATGCAAGACTATAAGCTGATAGATACTCTTATGGCAAAAGGTCAAAACCTCTAAGATTTCACAAGAAAAGGAACAAAAGACAAAAATTCCTTACTCTAGTGTTGTTAAAAGCCTTATGTATACTATGATATGCATAGAACTAGGCATTTGCTATACCATAGGCATGGTAAGTAGATATCAATCTAATCAAGTTCAACCCCATTGGAAAGTCATTAAAAGGATATTGAGATATCTGTAAGGCACTGTAGATTATTCGTTATGCTATCAAGGAAGGGCTTTGCATTTGGTCTACTATATGGACCTGGCTACGTTTTCTAACTAAATAGTGGGACTATTTCGTGGAGCAGTAAGAAACATACTTGTATAGCACTATCCATAATAGAATATGAATTTGTAGCATTTTAGTAGTAGTGTAAGAGACTCTTTGACTTAAAAGATTCTTAAATTGTTTGATATTTGAGAAGAATGAGTCCAACTTAGTGTTGGTAAATTGTGATAGTCAAGTTGCAATTGCATTCACAATAGATCTTAAATATCATTTTAAGATTAAACATATAGATACGAAGTATAATTACATGAGAGACAAGTTGTAAAAAAAAAAAAGTTAACATGCAGTATATTTTTATGCATAAGATGATTGTAGATCCATTTACTAAGCAAATACCTAGAGATTTATTTAATAGCCACATGAAATCTTTAGGATTGCATAGATGTTGATGTATATGTATTGATTGAATAGTTCTATATGAACAATGTATGATATTTTTTCATTTGAGTTGACTTATATTGAATACAATTAATATTATTAAAGCTTAGTACTTTGTTTTATGATGCATGCACACATGTATATGAATATGTACATATACGATATTATTATAAAGGTATGTCAGACAGATGATTGGCCTTTTTATATAGGCAATCACCTTAATGGTTTGGTACCATAATAATGAGACTAGTTTAAAGTTATAGATTAAGAGCCCAAGCTTAAAACAAAATCGCTTTGATAAAGTATCAGGATGACATCACTCAATATTGAGACTTGTGATGAAAAGTGAATAAACCCATAATTCATTTTGTCCATTTTAATATGCTAGAGGGAAGTCTTATTAATTATATGAAATCAAGTAGAGTTGTAGACTCAAGTTAGATATTTGGAGTATCTGAACTATCACCTGTACGGTATTAATATACAAATGATGAAAAACATACGCTCCCTAAAAAATGGACAGTAGCACCGTAATATGTATTTCATACCACTTATGCATTATTTGACCAACAAATTTAATAGAAGAATATATTTTTTTTCTTACTATGTGAGACCCTTGAGATAAGAAGATTTCATATTTAGTAGTCTTAAGGACTTTCGGCTATTTCTTAAAATTTCAGTTCAATGTTAGCTATATTGGATTGTTGCTAATGGTCATTGATGATTCAATCTAATAGGCGTATCTGGATAGCAGTTGAATTGAAATGAAGAGATTTTATAAAAAGGGAAGATCATTCTATAGTCATATTTTGTTATATTAATAGGTCGACCAATTATATTTAAAATGTTGAACATAATTGTGCGTGCATAAGTATATCATATAATATGATAAAAGCAAGATCGTGAGAAACTTGAAATGTGATTGAATGGATCTAGGATGCTATATACTTACTTTAATTGTACTTGAGAGTTATTATACATACCTAACAGTTGTATAAGTGACTATATGTGATAATGAGCTCCTATATGCACCTAAAAGTTGTAGAGCAACCGAGCTCTCAAAGTATGTTGGTCACATAGTTTATTTTCTTATATGAACCTGATATAAAGAATAGAGAAAATGTTCTCAAGATTATGAGAGTTTTACACCTATTCTATGCAAATGGGAGATGAAGAAAATTTAAGACACGCCCATAACAGGTAACTACCATTAGGTAGTTTATTTCTTTAAATAAAAATTGACTTAGGTAGTTTACAAAAACTTAAATGTTAAATAAACTGCTGCTCCTTATCTCCCAATATAATGGC